AATAAGTATTTTAAACAAGATAATGCAACATTTGGGTTAACTTAGGCAGGTTTTAAGAGGTAGCGGAGTTCTTTTATTAAGTGGTAATACACTGTATAGCAGTCATTGAAGATTCACTCTATACAGATTCACTAACATGTGATATCCCACTGAAATATTTGTAATTTCCTATATGCACTACACTCACTGTATATCATTGCTTTTCAGAAATTACTGAAAGATTCCTATCATGCTGAATTAAGTGTTAATGGTTTACTTGATCTCAGTACAGTTGCCACAGAGCTGAACATGTCTGCATAAAGCTACATACATCTATACTAGGTAAATGTTAAAGATTTCCAAGGACTGGTACTTGAGTGGTAGAACATTAGGTTCACAGTCTTCAAGAGACTTATGAACTACACAAGACTTGTAACCTCTCACTAGTTTAGTTACAAGCAGGTCTTGTTTCACAGCTAATGCAGCAGTTTTTAATTATGCCCATTCTTCATTAATTCAGACTTCCTGTAATACATACATTTGTTCTTAGCTTAGTGAAATGTAAAAGTATTTTAAGGCAAGTAATGCGTGCATCAGCATTTTTCAAGCCTAGCTCTATTGCTCACTATGTAATATTGCAAATACATTTTCAAGCTGTTATATGCATTCGAAAGTGAAAGGCTATGTTTCACTTTACAGCAGCAGCCTGGAACCTAAGCTGCTGTATAAGTGAGACCCTCCTCCTGTACTGCCAATATTCACCTAGCAAGAAATGGGTACCATAGCTGGTAGTTAGTTACCTGTTGTGGGCCACATCCAGGGAAGGAGACCACTGCATTAAATGCTTCTCATTACAAGGGAATCCTTCCTCAGAGTGTACAAAATAAAACATGTCATCCCAAAGTTGAATCAACACCACTAAGTCTTGCAGATCAAATATGACTGAAGGAAGAGTGGAGTTATGGTGCACTTTTATTTTTATTTTTAACAGCAGTCTAGACATGCCTCTGGTAAGACAGTGATGGGTTGAATGATGATGAAAGTGTTCCTTCTTTTTTTTTGGGACACCCTACCTCAGCAGGGTGTCCCCTGCACCTGGGAAATGAGAAGTAAATCAGGTTCATTTTGATCCTTGGATCAAAAGCCTCTCACCAGGCAAAATATAACATGGAAATAATGAAATGCAGATACATAAAATATTGTATTATATGTAACCGAGATTTACAAGATGTCCAGGAACCTAGCAGGGTGTCCATGAGCCTAGCAGGGTGTCCTTGAGCCTAGCAGGGTGTCCTTGAGCCTAGCAGGGTGTCCTTGAGCCTAGCAGGGTGTCCATGAGCCTAGCAGGGTGTCCATGAGCCTAGCAGGGTGTCCATGAGCCTAGCAGGGTGTCCATGAGCCTAGCAGGGAGTCCAGGAGCCTAGCAGGGTGTCCATGAGCCTAGCAGGGTGTCCTTGAGCCTAGCAGGGTGTCCATGAGCCTAGCAGGGTGTCCATGAGCCTAGCAGGGTGTCCATGAGCCTAGCAGGGTGTCCATGAGCCTAGCAGGGTGTCCTTGAGCCTAGCAGGGTGTCCTTGAGCCTAGCAGGGTGTCCTTGAGCCTAGCAGGGTGTCCTTGAGCCTAGCAGGGTGTCCTTGAGCCTAGCAGGGTGTCCATGAGCCTAGCAGGGTGTCCATGAGCCTAGCAGGGTGTCCATGAGCCTAGAAGGGTGTCCATGAGCCTAGCAGGGTGTCCATGAGCCTAGAAGGGTGTCCTTGAGCCTAGCATGGTGTCCATGAGCATAGCAGGGTGTCCATGAGCCTAGCAGGGTGTCCTTGAGCCTAGCAGGAAGTCCGGGAGCCTAGCAGGGTGTCCATGAGCCTAGCAGGGTGTCCATGAGCCTAGCAGGGTGTCCTTGAGCCTAGCAGGGTGTCCATGAGCCTAGCAGGGTGTCTGTGAGCCTAGCAGGGTGTCCTTAAGCCTAGCAGGGAGTCCAGGAGCCTGGCAGGGTGTCCAGAAGCCTAGCAGGGTGTACTTGACCCTAGCAGGGTGTCCTTGAGCCTAGCAGGGAGTCCAGGAGCCTAGCAGGGTGTCCAGGAGCCTAGCAGGGTGTCCTTGAGCCTAGCAGGGTGTCCTTGAGCCTAGCAGGGTGTCCATGAGCCTAGCAGGGTGTCCTTGAGCCTAGCAGGGAGTCCAGGAGCCTAGCAGGGTGTCCAGGAGCCTAGCAGGGTGTCCAGGAGCCTAGCAGGGTGTCCAGGAGCCTAACAGGGAGTCCAGGAGCCTAGCAGGGTGTCCTTGAACCTAGCAGGGAGTCCGGGAGCCTAGCAGGGTGTCCTTGAGCCTAGCAGGGAGTCCGGGAGCCTAGCAGGGTGTCCGTGAGCCTAGCAGGGAGTCTGGGAGCCTAGCAGGGTGTCCTTGAGCCTAGCAAGGAGTCTGGGAGCCTAACAGGGTGTCCTTGTGCCTAGCAGGAAGTCTGGGAGCCTAGCAGGGTGTCCGTGAGCCTAGCAGGGTGTCCTTGAGCCTAGCAGGGAGTCCGGGAGCCTAGCAGGGAGTCTGGGAGCCTAGCAGGGTGTCCTTGAGCCTAGCAGGGTGTCCGGGAGCCTAGCAGGGAGTCCGGGAGCCTAGCAGGGTGTCCTTGTGCCTAGCAGGGTGTCCTTGAGCCTAGCAGGGAGTCCGGGAGCCTGGCAGGGAGTCCGGGAGCCTGGCAGGGAGTCCGGGAGCCTGGCAGGGTGTCCAGGAGCCTAGCAGGGTGTCCGGGAGCCTAGCAGGGTGTCTGTGAGCCTAGCAGGGAGTCCAGGAGCCTAGCAGGGAGTCTGGGAGCCTAACAGGGTGTCCTTGTGCCTAGCAGGAAGTCCGGGAGCCTAGTAGGGTGTCCATGAGCCTAGCAGGGTGTCCATGAGCCTAGCAGGGTGTTCATGAGCCTAGCAGGGTGTCCATGAGCCTAGCAGGGAGTCCGGGAGCCTAGCAGGGTGTCCGGGAGCCTAGCAGGGTGTCCGGGAGCCTAGCAGGGTGTCCGGGAGCCTAGCAGGGTGTCCGGGAGCCTAGCAGGGTGTCCGGGAGCCTAGCAGGGTGTCCGGGAGCCTAGCAGGGTGTCCAGGAGCCTAGCAGGGTGTCCAGGAGCCTAGCAGGGTGTCCAGGAGCCTAGCAGGGTGTCCGGGAGCCCTCATCAATTCTGTACAATTGTTCAGACAAGGTAAAAGTTTTGTTAAACACAAAATACTAATTATATTAATGGCAACTATATTTTCAAATTATTGAAGATTAATTCTGTTTGTCATAACTTTTTCATTAAATTATTGTAGTGTAAATGTTGATTAATACAATAAACTTTTTTTTTTTTTATTTTATTCATAGATAAGAAATTTCACATCATATCAGCATCAATTCATGATTATTTTCAAACGTACTTTTATTTTGATACAGTCTTTACACATACAACACTCACACATGCACGCACACATACAACACACACACATACAACACACACACATGCACGCTCACTCCTACTAACTCCCAGTCAGCTAGCCACTCCTTTGTACAACTGGCTAACCCCCCTCTCTCTCTCTCTCTCTCTCTCTCTCCATTTTATGTAAATTATGCACTTTTATAACATCCCTGCAATTTTGTGGCCTATCCACATCTTACATCCCTACAATCTGAGTCTATTCATATCTTACAGTAGCCCTGAAATTTGAAGGCTTATCCATATCTTGCAGCATAAAAATGAGGAAATATGTTCTCTTGTGGAAGCAGCAAAGGGAAGGATAATGCCACAACTGTGATGAAAAGTGGTAGTTCTTGACTGTGTAAGTGTTGATAATAACTGTTAAAACAGTAGGGGAAGGGAAGTTGTGCTTCAGTGAAAGCACAAGATAATTGGACAATGAAGCATGTACCAATAAGAGCCTTTTTATTAAACAATGCCCTATTTACCATCTAATACAAAGGCTACTAGCTAGCTGGCTACTCCCCATTCACTACCTAATTAATGAAAAAGTGAAACTAAGTTAAGAACCTGTGTAATACAAGTACTTGTAGTTGTGACTCGAGGACAGCGAGGAAGATCAAGTTTAAAGTTGTTCTTTTCAGAAATACTCAATCATAAAACGAAGTTCATCACAACACTATCTGGCAGCTACCTCTGAGTCTTGCCTGGGGAAAACCAAGCTGTAAAAAAATACTAGACATGTATAAAAATGGCTGTAGGCCAACCATTTACCACTCTAGCTGACTTAAACAACTGCTAAGTATCATAATATTATAATTTACTAATTTTTTGATTCAGTGTATGATGGGGGGGATGGGGTTAGAAGTGGAGGCCCCAAAATCATTTTCCTATGAGTTCCTAACAATGGTTAATTCTGGTTAGAATCAAATATCTATGAAAAATATTCTAATCATAAAGCCACATTCCACAAATAGCTATTTAAAAATTTCTCTCAGCCAATACTACTCTAAGCTCACAATAATTACCCACAGTCGTTAAAGCTAACTCAATATCTATCAATGATGAATTAGGAACCTTTTCATTGCCTATATGTTTAATCAAGTAAAATTTACCATTTACATTGTAAAACCGACATTAAATCGTTACATTTTCTGCCTAGCATATCGCATAAAATTTGTAAATTACACTACCCTACTTAAAAAGCTTTGTGCGTGTGTGTGATATTTCTTATTTACAGCTTAATGTACATGCATTATGGCAGCCTGACAAAAAAAAAATGGTGAAAATTGACTACTGTACTTGCAAACACTTCAACAATACAAAGGTCACAAGGACTGCATATTGCATATGTTTACAAAGACTGCACATTAAATTTGCTCAAAAGGACTTCGGACTGAATTTGTTCAAAATAACTGCATATTGAATTTGCTCCGTTTAATTTTCAACAACTTAGTCTCAAGTTAATGTTCATTCTCTCACAGTTGCAAGGTCAAATAATGACTGATTATTCAATGGCAAGGAAGATTATCCTGCCCTTGTTCAAAATAATTCCTCTAATTTTTTTTCACTGTTCATTTGCAAGTCTTTTTTAAACAAAAAGTGATAGATAACTAACAAAATACAAAGCTTTGATAATATTCACTGGCATTCCTGCCATAAAATGTCTAATACAAAGCTTATCCACTTTATTCCAGCTGGGGATCATCTTCTTCAGGGGTTTCTTCTTCTGGCGGTCGAGTCCATTTGATTAAAGTCTCCGGTGAGCGGAAGAGGAAGACTAACTTAGCAAAGAGGTCTTCTTCAAGCTCAAGTTCACTACTCTCTCGCACTAAGTAAATGTCAAGGCAGAGCTGAGGATGGAAAAAATATACAAGACAAATGTCAAGAAAATGGTCAAACTTGTTAACATAAAAGTATTTCAACCTTTTAAGTAAAGCTGTATCTTTAGGCATCTGATAATTTTGAGAGTATCGGTATTCGCCTATAACCGAGTAATGGTATCAACCAAAAATATATGGTATCCGCTCCTCCCTATGTTTAAGTAATTCTAACCAAAATTTTTTTAAATTGTGACAATCCTACATGGAACTAATGTACAGCATATATATATGTACAGTGTACATGCTTTTTTAATACGTTGGCTATTTCCCACCTGTATATCAGAACTCAAATGACTGTAAACATCTCAACATCCCTGTTCTTTATTTTGGTAAGGATAACTTATAATTTTTAAAGCATTAGACAATGAAAATAAATATCTATAAATTAAACTATTATTACACAAGTAATTCTATTTATATAAAACTATAAATGTACTCAGGTTTTCATGTATTTTCCACCATCAGAAGAGTACATGAATTCCTAAATCATGTGTAATAAACTTTAAACCCTGATAAAAAGGAATGCATTTATTTGTTCATTACTATTATCATGATATCCAGCTGTAAATCCTTTAGGCACTAATCACAAGACTGTACCAACCTGTCACTTGTTACAGAGCAATGATATAGCTAGTTTATGATTCTAAGCATCAGTCCTGAATTTGAATAAGTTTATTATGTTCCCTTAGCTAATGGTAAGAAATATTCACATTGTCAAATGAATGGATTATTACTGTCATGCAGTGTTAAGCTTTAATGAGGGCAAATAAGACTAAATTAGTACTATCACATATACAGGAGGGCCTAGTGTATACAGCATCCTCTTCTCAGTTTTCCACCTTTTCGTTGGCTTACAATTAAGCCATTATGTTTGATGCTTTTACCACTTTTCTGCCATTTCCACACGACAGTTTCATAAAGGAATGGCGACCAGTGCTAAATTTTAAGGCAAGTATTGTATGTACTGTGTATTTATTTTACTTTCTCTGCTTTTTTTTATGCCTAACTGTATTGAGCATTTAACATATGAGAGTATAAACATGTTATCTGGCATTACACACATTCAATAATGAAAAAGAGGCTCTTTTTCCACCTGCCAGCGATTTTTGTTTATCGTATGAGGTTGGGAGCCTAAAAGACATACAAACAGGACCCTCCTGTATTACTATTCCATCATCCTATCATAACTTATCTTCAGAATCTTAACTGCACTCACCTGCAAAATACGGTCAACATTGGGTAAATCATCGAACATTATTTTCATGGCAGATCCAGCGAAGTATCCACGCAGCATCTTTCCAGCCACCAGCACTAGTGTAGTGTACATCCCCACAATCCTGTAACAAAAATATAACAGTAAAAGACTTGTCAACAAGTGGTCAAGACACACTTTAAAAACTTTTATTTATACTGTTTCTAAGTCAAGTTGTGTAAAGTCACTGACTTAATGAAGCTTTACTTCCCATGCTTTATGTTTTGCAGTCCAACCATGATAATTTACTACAAATTTACATAAAATATTTAATAGCTTAATTCTTTTTTCCAAGAACAGTTAATGGATTTTGCCATATTGCTCCCTTATCCACTGTCATATGCCTTTTCTAAATCCATAAATGCAATGAAAACTTCCTTACCCTTACCTAAATATTCTTTATCTTATGCTTCAATGTGAACACCTGGTCTACACATCCCCTACCCTTCCTAACACCTCCATGTACATCTGTAATCTTGCTTTCCATCTTACCCTTAATTCTTTCAATAATAATTACAATACATTTTATCTGGTATACTCAACAAGCTTATTTCCCTGTAATTCTTACACTCTCTTTTATCCCCCTTTCCTTTATACAAATGAACTATGCATACACACTGCCAATTCCTAGGTACCTTTCCCTCTTTCATATATTTATTGAATAAAAGTACCAGCCACTCTAAAATCTAATGTTAACAATACTGTCTTGACCTCATCAATCCCAACTGCTATACTCTTATTTTACCCACTACCTCACACACTTCCAGCGCTCTCACATTTGGCTCTTCCTCACTTCTGAAAGATGTTAAAGCTCCCTGGGCTATGCACAAAACTGCTGCCTCCCTTTCTTCATAAAGATTTAACAGCTTCTCAAAATATTCCCTCCATCTTCCCAAAACCTCAACTGTCCATCTACTAGCTCCTCTCTTGTTTTTAACTGTTAAGTCCATTCATTCTCTAGGTTTTCTCAACCTATTTTCATAAATTTTCATAAATCTCATTCTCCTTTTACACTCCCTCAACCTCTTTTACTCGCCATATACTCCACCCTTACATTACTTTTGGTTTTTAAAAACCTCTCGTGTGATAACTTTTCAATGAACTAATGAACCTCAACAAAGGCAACCAGTTTTATTTAATATGCATCCTGAAAATTATATTACTGCCCATTAAAGTCTGATACACTAATCCCAATATTTTACTCCTTTCATATTCCATACTTAATAAAATCAAATTTATAACTACATAAACATGAAGAGGTATAGGATGACGTTTCGGTCCGACTTGAACCACTTACAAGTCACACTTGTAAATGGTCTAAGTCGGACTGAAATGTCTTTTATGTGTAGGGAATTTGTATATTGTTCCAGTCATAGTATTGTGCCCTTTTGTTCTTTACCTAATTTGATGTTAGTATGTACTGTGTATATAATCTAATAAGAGCTATGTACATATTCATACACAAAGTATAAAAGTTAGAAATTTACCCGCCGCCTGAAATAAAACTGAGACCCTTGGGGAATGCTTTGTCACTGAATGTGTATACAGTGAGAAAGTGGCACTGACGCCCACCAGGCATCCAGTCATAGTAACCGTTGGTACAATCTTCCTCTACCTCCCACCACTGCTGTCTTGATGACAGATTCTTGAACCCGGCAGATTGCAGAGTGAACTTCAGGTCTACAAAGCCTCTCTTCTTTTCTGCACATGTAAAATTAATTTTATTAGATAGAGAGCATATCATGCTTAATATAGTCATGTTCATGGGGAGGTGCAAAAACTCACTGAGGTCATACAGCATGTGGGGGATATGAGGAAATCTGGGTTGATCCAAGAAACAGGGTCAACTTAATTCCATGGAGCAAGAACAATTACCAGCATCATGGCTCTTTCCATGAAGGAACACTATATATGATAAAGAACAGGATCTTAACCTTCAAACTGCGGGGTGCCCAGGAAAAAAAATCCTATTTGTGGAAGATTTAGGATTTTTTTTTTATCTTATAGAATGAAATTTTATTTTTGTAAATCAATGAAGACTAAAATGAGTGGACTCTGATAAAAACTTAATTTTATGGTGTATTGAAGTAAGATAAAAACAATCACTTTATTGGCCACAATGACAACTTTGGTGAACAGAGATGCGATTGTTTTTCCATGATGATGAATAATTGTAACTTGTGCATCTGGTTTGTGGTTTGACAATTAAGTGACTTAGCAGATTCTGTTCTACATTTCCAAAGTCAGTTAAATTGAGGGTCTACATATCAGTTTCACTGTTTTCTCTATATGATTGTTCACCTTTCATAAGTTCCCTAAGGTTAAAAAAAAGAAAAAAAACTCCAGGTAAATACCAGGAGAAAAATAAACAAGGGGTTCACTATTAAATTTAACTTTTCACAGGTGCCATTGTTTCTAAAGCTTAATTGTGAGAAGTCTTCTGACCTCTTACACTTGTAGTATAACCTCTGAGTGCCTGGCACTGGTGAGATTTATTCAAGCAACTGGATTTACCCTTCCATTTAGATCAAACTTGATTACCTCCCATTTTCGCCTAAAGGCTAAGTGCTACCTCATGAATACACTATCTATACATATTTGTTTTATTAACACACTGGCCGATTCCCACAACGGCAGGGTGGCCAGAAAAAGAAACTTTCACCATCATTCACTCCAACACTGTCTTGCCAGAATGTGAGTAGTCACGAAAGCGCTTGGAATTTCACTACTCTTTCACAGTGGTTGTTTTGTGTGTGTGTGAGTGTGAGTGTGAGTGTGTGTGTGTGTGTGTGTGTGTGGTGTGTGTGTGTGTGTGTGTGTGTATGTGAGTGAGTGAGTGAGTGAGTGGTGAGTGAGTGTGTGTGTGTGTGTGTGTGTGTGTGTGTGTGTGTGTGTGTGTGTGTGTGTGTGTGTGTGTGTGTTGTGTGTGTGTGTGTGTGTGTGTACTCACCTATTTGTGGTTGCAGGGGTCGAGTCTTAGCTCCTGGCCCCACCTGTGTGTAGTATATATATTATATATATATATAATATATATATTATAATATATATATATATATATATATATATATATATATATATATATATATATATATATATATATATATATATATATATGTATATATATATATATAGGTAGTTAGGTTTGGGAGACAGCAACCACCCAGGGAGGTACTACCGTCCTGCCAAGTGAGTGTAAAACGAAGCCTGTGATTGTTTTAACATGATGGTAGGATTGCTGATGTCTTTTGTCTGTCTCATAAATATGCAAGATTACAGGCATGTCTTGCTCCTTCTACTTACACTTAGGTCACACTACACATACATGTACACATTTATTTATACACACTCATCTGAGTTTTCTTTGATTTTATCTTAATAGTTCTTGGTCTTATTAATTTTCCTTTTATATCCATGGGGAAGTGGAATAAGAATCTTTCCTCCGTAAGCCATGCGTGTTGTAAAAGTCAACTAAAATGCCGGGAACAATGGGCTAGTAACCCCTTTTCCTGTAAAGATTACTAAAAAGAATAAGAAGAAGAAAATTGTCAAAGTGGGAAGTCTGAATGTGCGTGGATGTTGTGCAGATAAGAAAGAGATGATTGTGGATGTTATGAATGAGAAGCTGGATGTCCTGGCTTTAAGTGAAACAAAGCTGAAGGGGGTGGGAGAGTTTCAGTGGGATTTCAATGGGATTAGGTCAGGGGTTTCAAATAGAGTTAGAGCTAAGGAAGGAGTAGCAATAATGTTGAAGGATAAGCTATGGCAGGAAAAGAGGGACTATAAATGTATTAACTCAAGGATTATGTGGAGTAAAATAAAGATTGGATGTGAAAAGTGGGTTATAATAAGCATGTATGCACCTGGAGAAGAGAGAAGTGTAGAGGAGAGAGATTTTGGGAAATGTTGAGTGAATGCGTGGGGAGTTTTGAATCAAGTGAGAGTAATGGTGGTTGGGGATTTCAATGCTAAAGTGGGTAAAATGTTATGGAAGGAGTAGTAGGTAAATTTGGGGTGCCAGGGGTAAATGTAAATGGGGAGCCTTTAATTGAGCTATGTGTAGAAAGAAATTTGGTAATAAGTAATACATATTTTATGAAAAGAGGATAAATAAATATACAAGGTATGATGTAGCACGTAATGAAAGTAGTTTATTAGATTATGTATTGGTGGATAAAAGGTTGATGGGTAGGCTCCAGGATGTACATGTTTATAGAGGGGCAACTGATATATTGGATCATTATTTAGTTGTAGCTACAGTTAGAGTAAGAGGTAGATGGGAAAAGAGGAAGGTGGCAACAACAAGTAAGAGGGAAGTGAAAGTGTATAAACTAAGGGAGGAGGAAGTTTGGGTGAGATATAAGCGACTATTGGCAGAAAGGTGGGCAGGTGCAAAGATGAGTAGTGGGGGGGGGTTGAAGAGGGTTGGAATAGTTTTAAAAATGCAGTATTAGAATGTGGGGCAGAAGTTTGTGGTTATAGGAGGGTGGGGGCAGGAGGAAAGAGGAGTGATTGGTGGAATGATGAAGTAAAGGGTGTGATAAAAGAGAAAAAGGTAGCTTATGAGAGGTTTTTACAAAGCAGGAGTGTTATAAGAAGAGCAGAGTATATGGAGAGTAAAAGAAAGGTAAAGAGAGTGGTGAGAGAGTGCAAAAGGAGAGCAGATGATAGAGTGGGAGAGGCACTGTCAAGAAATTTTAATGAAAATAAGAAAAAAATTTTGGGGTGAGTTAAACAAGTTAAGAAAGCCTAGGGAAAATATGGATTTGTCAGTTAAAAACAGAGTAGGGGAGTTAGTAGATGGAGGTATTGGGTAGATGGCGAGAATATTTTGAGGAACTTTTAAATGTTAAGGAAGAAACAGAGGCAGTAATTTCATGCACTGGTCAGGGAGGTATACCATCTTTTAGGAGTGAAGAAGAGCAGAATGTAAGTGTGGGGGAGGTACGTGAGGCATTACGTAAAATGAAAGGGGGTAAAGCAGCTGGAACTGATGGGATCATGACAGAAATGTTAAAAGCAGGGGGGGATTTAGTGTTGGAGTGGTTGGTACTTTTGTTTAATAAATGTATGAAAGAGGAGAGGGTACCTAGGGATTGGCGGAGAGCATGTATAGTCCCTTTAATAAAGGGAAAGGGGACAAAAGAGACTGTAAAAATTATAGAGGAATAAGCTTACTGAGTATACCAGGAAAAGTGTACGGTAGGGTTATAATTGAAAGAATTAGAGGTAAGACAGAATGTAGGATTGCAGACGAGCAAGGAGGTTTCAGAGTGGGTAGGGGATGTGTAGATCAGGTGTTTACATTGAAGCATATATGTGAACAGTATTTAGATAAAGATAGGGAAGTTTTTATTGCATTTATGGATTTAGAAAAGGCATATGATAGAGTGGATAGAGGAGCAATGTGGCAGATGTTGCAAGTTTATGGAGTAGGTGGTAAGTTACTAAATGCTGTAAAGAGCTTTTATGAGGATAGCGAGGCTCAGGTTAGGGTGTGTAGAAGAGAGGGAGAATACTTCCCGGTAAAAGTAGGTCTTAGACAGGGATGTGTAATGTCACCATGGTTGTTTAATATATTTATAGATGGAGTTGTAAAACAAGTAAATGCTAGGGTGTTTGGGAGAGGGGTGGGATTAAATTATGGGGAATCAAATTCAAAATGGGAATTGACACAGTTACTTTTTGCTGATGATACTGTGCTTATGGGAGATTCTAAAGAAAAATTGCAAAGGTTAGTGGATGAGTTTGAGAATGTGTGTAAAGGTAGAAAGTTGAAAGTGAACATAGAAAAGAGTAAGGTGATGAGGGTATCAAATGATTTAGATAAAGAAAAATTGGATATCAAATTGGGGATGAGGAGTATGGAAGAAGTGAATTTGTTTTCAGATACTTGGGAGTTGACGTGTCGGCGGATGGATTTATGAAGGATGAGGTTAATCATAGAATTGATGAGGGAAAAAAGGTGAGTGGTGCGTTGAGGTATATGTGGAATCAAAAAACGTTATCTATGGAGGCAAAGAAGGGAATGTATGAAAGTATAGTAGTACCAACACTCTTATATGGTGTGAAGCTTGGGTGGTAAATGCAGCAGCGAGGAGACGGTTGGAGGCAGTGGAGATGTCCTGTCTAAGGGCAATGTGTGGTGTAAATATTATGCAGAAAATTCGGAGTGTGGAAATTAGGAGAAGGTGTGGAGTTAATAAAAGCATTAGTCAGAGGGTAGAAGAGGGGTTGTTGAGGTGGTTTGGTCATTTAGAGAGAATGGATCAAAGTAGAATGACATGGAAAGCATATAAATCTATAGGGGAAGGAAAGAGGGGTAGGGGTTGTCCTCGAAAGGGTTGGAAAGAGGGGGTAAAGGAGGTTTTGTGGGCGAGGGGCTTGGACTTCCAGCAAGCGTGCATGAGCATGTTAGATAGGAGTGAATGGAGACGAATGGTATTTGGGACCTGACGAGCTGTTGGAGTGTGAGCAGGGTAATATTTAGTGAAGGGATTCAGGGAAACCGGTTATTTTCATATAGTCGGACTTGAGTCCTGGAAATGGGAAGTACAATGCCTGCACTTTAAAGGAGGGGTTTGGGATATTGGCAGTTTGGAGGGATATGTTGTGCATCTTTATACGTATATGCTTCTAAACTGTTGTATTCTGAGCACCTCTGCAAAAGCAGTGATAATGTGTGAGTGTGGTGAAAGTGTTGAATGATGATGAAAGTATTTTCTTTTTGGGGATTTTCTTTCTTTTTTTTTGGGTCACCCTGCCTCGGTGGGAGACGACTGACTTGTTGAGAGAAAAAAAAAAAAAAAAAAAAAAAAAATATATAAAAGTTCAATGTGCTTACACATACAAACACTGAAGATGTAAGTACATGAATGCACCCAGGTTTTATTTCCTATTTTCACTGTAGTATATTTATATATTTGCAATCACTCATTTTATTGTGATTTCTTCCATGTAATGTTCTTTTATCAAGAAAGAGAATGCACTACAATCACAAATTATTTCATCGAATTTTAAAAATTACAGGACACCAATATATACCAGAAATTCTCTTATATAAGATATGAAAGATTTTCTTATTTATAGAAAGGTAATCAATACACAAATAACCCACACATAGGAGAGACCAGCAGCTTATGACAGTGTTTCAAAGTCACACAGTGCGACTTTGTAAATGGTCCAAATTGGCTTGGTGGCTAAAGCTCTCGCTTCACACACAGAGGGGCCGGGTTCAATTCCCAGCGGGTGTAAACATTTCAACGCGTTTCCTTACACCTGTTGTCCTGTTAACCTAGCAGCAAATAGGTACCCAGGTGTTAGCTAACTGGTGTGGGTTGCATCCTGGGGGACAAGATTGAGGACCCCTATGGAAATAAGTTAGACAGTCCTCAATGACACACTGACTTTCTTGGGTTATCTTGGGTGGCTAACCCTCCGGAGTTAAAAATCCGAACGAAATCTTATCATATGCTGCTCCTCTCTCCCATGTGTAGATTATCTGTGTATTGTTCAAGTCACGGTACTGAGCCTTTTTTTCTTTATGGTAATCAATACTTAAAATTAAAAATGGAAATGTATTGCTAAAATTTTTGAGAACCATTGTTAATGTTATAACAGGTAAAACACTATTATGATGCACAGATGCTGAAGCATTCTGACCTTCAAGCTGAACGACGTAATCAGCTTGACCTTTATTGGTGACCTTGATGAACTTTGGAAACAAGTTTGGAATAAGGACTGCCGTTTCGTTTACCTCCCCCTCCAAGATGCGGCAAACAGCCTCAACGAATTGATTCCTCTTTGATCCTAAAAGAAAGGGCAAGATTAGACAAACATGTTTTGGTTTATGTTACATTATAAACCTAGGTAATGAGAGTAACAAACAAGTCTAGGCAATAAAAACTGGATATCAGATTGGAAGAAGTATAGAGTAGGTAGACATGTCAGTAGATGGGTCTTTGAAAAAGTGAACTGCAGAATAGAGGGAGAAAGATGCAGGTTGTACGTTGAGGCATGTGGAAAGAAAAATGTTATCTATGGAGGCAAAAATGGAAATATACCAGAGTACAATGGTATCATTACTGTGTGTGTGTGTTTTGTGTGGTGTGGTGTGTGGTTGTGTGGGTGGTGTGTGTGTGTGTGTGTGGTGTGGTGTGTGAGTGTGTGTGTGTGTGGGGGTGTGTGTGTGAGGTGTGTGTGTGGAGTGTGTGTGGAGTGTGTGTGAGTGTGTGTGTGTGTTGGTGTGTGTGTGTGGTGGTGTGTGTGGTGGTGTGTGGTGTGTGTGTGTGTGTGGTGTGGTGTGTGTGTGGTGTTGTGTGTGTGTGGTGTTGTGTTGTGGTGTGTGTGTGTGGGGTGTGTGTGTGGGGTGTGTGTGTGTGGGGTGTGTGTGTGTGGGTGTGTGTTTGTGGGTTGTGTGTGTGGGTGAGTGTTGTGTGGGGGGTGGTTGTGTGGGGTGTGTGTGTGTGGGGTGTGGTGTGTGTGGGTGTGTGTGTGTGGGTGTGTGTGGTGTGGGGTGTTTGTGTGTGGGTGTGTTGTGAGTGGGATGTGTGGTGGTGGGGTGTGTGTGTGTGGGGTGGGTGTGTGTGTGGGGTGGTGTGTGTGAGGGGTGTGGTGTGTGTGGGTGTGTGTGTGTGGGGGTGTGTGTGTGTGGGGTGTGTGTGATGTGGGGTGTGTGGTGTGGGGGGTGTGTGTGTGTGGGTGTGTGTGTGGTGGGGTGGTTGTGTGTGGGTGTGTGTGTGAGGGTGTTGTGTGTGTGGTGTGTGTGTGTGTTGGGGTGTGTGGTGTGTGGGGTGTGGTGTGTGGGGTGAGTGTGTGGGGTGTGTGTGTGGGGTGTGTGGGGGGTGTGTGTGGGTGTGTGTGGGGTGTGTGTGGGGTGGTGGAGGGGTGGTGTGAGGGGTGTGTTTGGGGTGTGTGTGGGGTGTGTGTGGGGGTGTGTGTGTGGGGTTGTGTGTGGTGTGTGTGTGGGGTAGTGTGGTGTGGGGTTGTGTGTGTGTGGGGTGTGTGTGTGGGGTGTGGTGTGAGGGGTGTGTGTGTGGGGTGGTGTGTGGGGTGTGTGTGTGGGGTGTGTGTTGGGGTGTGAGTGTGGGTGGTGTGGTGTGTGTTGTGGTGTGTGTGTGGTGTGGTGTGTGTGTTGGTGTGTGTGTGGTGTGTGTGTGGTGTGTGTGTGGTGTGTGTGTGGTGTGTGTGGTGTGGTGTGTGTGGTGTGTGTGTGGTTGTGTTGTGTGTGGTTGTGTGTGTGTGAGTGGTGTGTGTGTGGTGTGTGGGTGTGTGTGTGGTGTGGTGTGTGGTGTGTGTGTGGTGTGTGTGGTGGGTGTGTGTGTGGTGTTGTGTGTTGGTGTGGGTGTTGTGTCGGTGGTGTGTGGGTGTTGTGGTGGTGTGTGTGTGTGGTGTGTGTTGGTGTGTGTGTGTGTGGGTGTGTGTGTGTGTGGTGTGTGTGTGTGTGTGGTGTGTGTGAGTGTGGTGTGTGTGTGTGGTGTGTGTGTGTGGTGTGTGTGGTGTGTGTGTGTGTGTGTGTGGTGGTGTGTGAGTTGTTTGTGTGTTGGTGTGTGTGTGTGTGGTGTGTGTGGTGTGTGTTGGTGTGGTGTGGTGTGTGTGGTGTGTGTGTGTGTTGGTGTGTGTGGTGTGTGTGGTGTGTGTGTGGTGTGTGGTGTGGTGTGTGTGTGGTGTGTGTGTGGTGTGTGTGTGGTTGTGTGTGGTGGTGTGTGTGTGGTGTGTGTGTGGTGTGTGTTGGGTGTGTGTGTGGTGTGGTGTGTGGTGTGTGTGTGGTGCTGTTTGTGGGTGTGGTGGTGTGTGTTGTGGTTGTGGTGTGGTGTGTGTGTGGTGTGTGGGTGGGTGTGTGTGTGTGTGGTGTGGTGTGGGGTGTGTGTTTACCTGAGAGAGTTCCGGAGCAACGCCCCCACGGCCCGGGTCTGTCAACCAGGCCGTCCTGGTGGATCAGAGCCTGATCAACCAGCGTTGCTGCGGCAGCACGCACACCAAACGTACGTAGCCACACCGCGGCTGGTCAGGAACCGACTTTAGAGGTGCTCGTCAGTCCAGCTTGAAGCTGCATGTCTGTTGGTAATCCCCCTTATTGTATGCTGGGAGGCATTAACAGTCTAGGGCCCCTGACACTTATTGTATGGTCTCTTAAGTGCTAGTGACACCCACTGCTTTTCATTGGGGGATGATGCTACGTCTCTGCCAAGTCTTTTGCTTTCGTATTGGAGTGATTTTCGTGTGCAAGTTTCTGTACTAGTCCCTTAGATTTTCCAGGTGTATATAATCATGTATCTCTCCCGCCTGCGTTCCAGGGAATACATGTTTAGGAACCTCAAGCGCTCCCAGTAATTGAGGGTGTTTTATCTCCGATAGTGCGTGCCGTGAAGGTTCTCTGTACATTTTCCTAGTCAGCAATTTTCACCTGCCTTGAAAGGTGCTGTTATGAGCTGCAATATTCAGCCTAGATAGAAACAAGTGACCTGAAGAGTGTCATCATGGGCTTTGGCCTCCCTAGTTTTTGAAGGTTCTCATTATCCAATCCTTCATTTTTCTAGCAGATGCAACAGATAGCAATGTTGTGGTCGCCTTGAAAGGTGAGATCCTCCGACATTATCACTCCCAGGTCTTTGACGTTGGTGGTTCGCTCTATTTGTGGCCAGATTTTGTTTGTACTCTGATGAAGAATTTAATTTCACTCGTTTATACCCACACCTGATAATTGAAATTTTCTCACGTTGAACTTCATATTGTTTTCTGCACCCACTGAAAGATTTGGTTGATGTCCGCCTGGAGCCTGCAGTGTCCGCAATGGAAGACACTGTCAATGGCGATACGGTGTCATCTGCAAAGGAAGACAACGGTGCTGTGGCTGACACTCCTTAAGTCTATTCGGATATGAGGATGAGGAACAAGATGGGGGACGATACTGTGCCTTGTGAACAAGCTTTTCACCATAGCTGCCTCGGGACTTTACTCTGTTGACGACTACTCTCTGTGTTCTGTTAGTGGGGAAATTATAGATCCATCGCCCGAGCTTTTACTGTTATTCCTTTATAGCACGCATTTTTGTGCGCTATTACGCCATGGTCACACCTTGTCGAAGGAGGCATTTTGCAAAGTCTGTATATATTTCATCAGCATTCCCTTTTGTCTTCTAGTGCATTTAGGACCCTTGGTCGTAGTGATCCAATAGTTGACAGACAGGACCACCTGTTCTAAACCCATGTTTTGCAACTGGGTTGTGTAACTGTGGTTTTCTAGCTAGGTGGTGATCTTGCTTCTTAGGACCCTTTCTAAGATTTTTTATGATAATGGGATGTTAGTGCTATCGGTCTGTAGTTCTTTGCTGTTGCTTTACTGCCCCCTTTGTGAGTGGGCTATGGTCTGTTGTTTTTTAGTAACTGTGGGACGACCCCCGTGTCCATGTCGTAGCTTCTCTCATGAGTAGCTGCACTCATTTCCTTCTGTCACTGTGTAGGACCCATCGCCACTTGTTTTAAGTAGGGGCCCATACTGGACGTTGTTCTCGACTTTGATTGGCATAGGAGAAGAAATACTTTTTGGGTTTATTTTCCTTTCGATTTCATTTATGGCTTTTAGTTCTTCCTTTCCCTCGATTCCTGACTCCTATAAGATTCCTTAGCTTAAGTTCGATGCTTGCTATTTCTCTGACCCATGTCTCCCTACGCATTTCAGATATATTGACCTCTTTTAGAGAGCCGCTCTGTTATTCTTTTCGTCCACCTGTAACAGGGAGCGCCTTCTCTTTCTATTTTTACATCTACTCCTGTCCTTTTTTCTTAAGAGGAATAAGCCTTGTGCATACATCGAGTGCCACCAAGTTAATCTGTTTAGGCATAAGTTGTGGGTCTGTGTTGTCTTAGTATATCTTCCCAGCTTATATCGGTTAGGAACTTGATTTACTTGGTCCCACTTTTATGATTTATGAAGTTGAATTTAGTGAATGCTCCTCGTGACTAGTCTCGTTATGTCCGGTCTGGGCTCCACGCATACATGTCCTGAACCTCAATATTTGTGATCTGATATATTGTTTTTGATATGTGACTTTCTTTTCAGATCATCATTGTTAGTGGAAGATGAGTCTAGTGTATTCTCCAGTCTAGTAGGCTCTATTATATGCTGGTTTAAACTGAATTTTGTGCGAGATTTAAAGCTCGTTTTAGTGGAGAGTTTTCATCAGAGCTGCCTCCTGGTTTATTACTGCAACAAAATAAATTTTCTATATTCCTCCATTTAGGTGCCTAAGTGAAATCCCCCAGGAGCAAGATGTTGGGTCAGGAGCTGGAAGATTTCCAGACAGTGGTCCAATTTTTAACAGCTGTCCCTGGTGGAATTTGCGTGGGGGGAGTGTTGTGCATCCGGAGGCTTGTAGACTCCCACAATACTAGGTTTTTTGGTTCCTTGACCTTACTGCTAAGACTCCACTACATCATTTGAGGCATTTAAGCAGTTCTGTCAAACAAGTGGCTCTGCAAACATTGGGGGTACAGGCCCAACCCCCTTATGCCTGTTCCACTCTGTCCACATCTGCATAAGTTGTAACCTGGGTCCATTTTCGTTGTCCAAGTGGATCCTTTATGTGGGTCCCAGTGAAAGCCGCGAACTATTGCCGTTGCCTCTGCAAGCAGTCCACGGATGAAAGGTATTTTGTTGTTTGTTTGCCTGGCCTTTAGAACCCTGTATATTGCAAAGAAGAATGTCATCGGACTGAGGTGGTAATGGTTGGTACTGGGGGGGGGAATTTTTTTTTTCCGGCATTAGCATCTTATCTGTTGGTTTGAAGTGGGAGGTCATCGACTGTGGTTCCACTCCAGAGAATTGACTGGATTTGGTTACGATTTCTGGCCATTTCCTCCAGTTTTTTTTCCTTCCTGGCACTAAAAAACCTCTCCCTCTTGAGTGGCTGTGGCTTACCCAGTTTTTCCATGGCCTGGAGGTTTTGTATCTTTTAGTCCCCCCTTTAGATGGTGGTGCCCTGCAATTTAAGTTATATAGCACAGTCTTTCTGTACTGAAGAAGGTAACCATATCCAGGGTGAAAAAGCTTACAGGAAGGGAGTTTGCATTTTCCTGTTGGTCCATATGGGCATGGCATTTTCTAGGGTGGTCATAGCTGCACTCCCCGTCATGTTTTTCCTCCAGATTTCCCATGTCTGCAGATAACAAGTTCATAGTAGTAGCAACAGGCCTTGGGTTCTCGTTTGCCTTGGGTTTTCTGTGACTGGTATTACCCTGTTGGTGATGTTTTCCCTGTCTTATTCCTATCCTCCCTAGCACCAACAATGGAGCTCCCACATTGTTTTTGTGGGTAATTATATCCTCAC